AAGGAGCTGCTGGTGGCTTCGTACTGCCGGCCTTTTGGTTAGCAGCTATAGGTCTTAACCACTGAGCCACCAGGGCTCCAGTAAAGCCAAGTAGGAACAAAATAACAACTTTGCACACAAAGGAATAAAAGCTAACGTTTGTTTCGGATGTGACGGTAACCAGTATGTTCAAACCCAAGAATAAAGGAAGAATCACACAGACTCTGGAGGTAAGCCTGCAATCACTTTTATTACCGTACTCTCCCAAGAGGCTCAGAATGAACATAACAGGTTGCAAAGGCATAAGCAGCTGTTTCCAAAGTCCACGCTCTTAAACATGACACCATGCTGCCTCCAGAAAGTCCTCCAGTTATTAGGTCCCTGAAGTCCTCTCCAATGGAAAGCATGCCTCCCTGCTCTTCTGGTGACTTTCTGGGGACGCAGTTGTTGGTAGGTGCCATCGAGTCAGTTCCGACTCATAGCGACCCTATGTATAACAGAATGAAACACTGCCGGGTCCTGCAGCATCCTCACAATCGTTGTTATGCTTGAGCCCATCGCTGCAGCCACTGTGTCAATCCATCTCCTTGAGGGTCTTCCTTTTTTTCAGTGACCCTCTACTTTACCAAGCATGATGTCCTTCTCCAGGGACTGGTCCCTCTTGATAATATGTCCAAAGTATGTGAGATGTAATCTCACCATCCTTGCTTCTAAGGAGCATTCTGGTTGTACTTCTTCCAAGACAGACGTGTTTGTTCTTTTGGCAGTTCATGGTATATTCAATATTATTCGCCAACACCACAATTCAAAGGTATCAATTCTTCGGTCTTCCTTATTCATCATCCAGCTTTCGCATGCATATGAGGAGATTGAAAACACCTTGGCTTGGGTCAGGTGCACCTTATTATCAAAGAGACATCTTTGCTTTTTAACACTTTAAAGAGGTCTTTTGCAGCAAATTTGCCCTATGCAATGCATCTTTTGATTTCTTGACTGCTGCTTCCATGGGCATTGATTATGGATCCAAGCAAAATGAAATCCTTGACGACTTCAATCTTTTCTCCATTTATCATGATGTTGCTTATTGGTCCAGTTGTAAGAATTTTTGTTTTCTTTATGTTGAGGTGTAATCCATACTGAAGGCTGCGGTCTTTGATCTTCATCAGTAAGTGCTTCAAGCCCTCTTCACTTTCAGCAAGCAAGGTTGTGCCATCTGCATAATGCAGGTTGTTAATGAGTCTTCCACCAATCCTTCCTCCTGGGGTCTGCGTACTCACTGCTCACTGTTCCTGAGTGTCAATTCCAGGCCATTGTTATATCACCATCCTACTACAACAGCTCCCTATTGCACGTTCACAAACATCGCTCAAGCCAGTCTCTCCATACTGGTACTGAAACACCTATACCCCTCCTGACAGGTTCCTCCCTTCGTTTGGACCTCCCACCTAATCACATGCCCTTGACCTCACTGGGCTACACCTCTTTGACGCTGTTGGTCTTGATCTCCATTCCTCACCCCTTGTCCCATGGATGCACACACGAAGAACATCACCTTGTCATTTAGAATTGGTCCACCTCCAAGATCTCAAACACCTAAGCTCCTTTCTGAGCACATCCTCTCATCATCATTCTCACCCCAATGAACCAGCTCTTCCCAGGAACCTCCAGAAGTTACAACAGGTGGATAAAGTTATCTGGCCTCTTGATGCACCCAAAATGATAATAGCATTACCAATTCCCTTGCCCCTCTCCTAGAATTTTCTGTATCCTCTCAAAACCACTGACAATGAGCTGGACCACAGGATAATCTTCAATAAATTCATCCCATTTTGTTTCACAGCCAAGACATCAGGAAAGGATTCACAAATCCATCTTTGTTCCAAAATAGAAGAACAGAAAGGCAACCACATCTGTCACAGAATGCAAAGCTAGAGCTGGAAGGGATCCTAGTGGTCATCACTTCCAGGCCCCCATCCAATGCTTGAAGCCCCTCCTCAGCCTTCCTCCCAGGGGGCCATGCTATTCACGTCAGAACACTCCCAGTGGCAGCAAACCCCTAGCTCAGTCCTCCTTTGAGAAGTTCCTTCAACTGAGTTGAAAGCAGTTTCTCTCTAATCTCCACCTAGGTCCTGGGCCTGCCTGTAGGGGCCCAAAGAAGTTTGCTCCTCTTTCACAGAGTCCTTGTGAGATCGGATTACACTCTCGTGTGTTCATTGAGTTTTATCTTCTCAGGGCCAGCTAGTTCCAGTTCCTCCACAAATTCCTCACAAGACAGGTTTGGGAGGGGCAGGATGAGGAAGAGGGGTAGTATAAGTGGGGTGGGGGGGGCAAAATAAATGGTGATTCAAGGTATGGGTCCTGGAATCTGACTGCCTGGCTTCAAGACTTGGCTTCATATGTTTCTACCTATGTGTCTTTGGACAAGCTGTTGTCCTCTCTGCCTTCATTTTTCTCTGTAAAGTAGGAATAATTTTATATCACCTACCACATAGAACATGGAGGGGTGTTTAAAGAGCTATATAAATAGTTCAGCACAGTACTGACACACACTAAGTGCTTAGTAAATGCTAGTTATTCTAGTCCCTTCCCCAAACTGGTCACCTCCTCTGGTCATGCTCCAGTTAGTCAACATGCTTATGAGGAGAGGGACCCGCCAGACAGGTGTGGCCTGACAACACAGAAGAGAACAGGCTAGCATTTGTTTTCACTGGCAACCACATGATTGAGTTCACGGACAATTAAAACCCCTAGATCTTTCTCACCTGAGCTTCTGTTCATCTTCATGTCCCCTTGCTTCAGTTATTGTTATTTATGAAACCACTGATCTGTTCCTATATCTAGATTTAATCATTTACTGCTGTATCTATAACTATTCACTCATGGCCATATTTAGAGCATGCATCTAAGTCCAGAAATTCTTTCATAAGGTAACACTGACTCTCTCAGGAAACACTGAGATTAGGCAAGAAGTAGGAAGAGGGTCTCTCATTCTTAACTGGTATGATTCTGTACTGTTTGAATTTTTTGCAATGCATATGTGTTACTTCTCCTTTGCCTTATTACTCTGCTGCTCTTTTTGTAACTTCTTGAGTTGAATGCTTAACTCATTAATTTTTTTATCTTTTTAAATAAATGCACTTAAGGCTATGCATTTCCCTCTAAATACCACTTTAGCTTTGTTGATATGTAGGGTTTTTTGTTTTGTTTGGTTGTTGTTCGTTTTGTTTTGTTAGTTGTTCAGTTCTAATACTTTGTAATTCCACTAGGATTTCCTTTTGACCCATGGATTTTTTTCAGAAGGTTGTTATTGTTTTTTAACCTTCAAACATATAGAGGTTTGGAGGCCATATTTTGCTTTGGACTGTCAATTTTTAATTTTATTGCACTGTGATCAAAGAGGAAACCCTGCCGGCATAGTGGTTAAGAGTTTGGCTGCTAACCAAAAGGTCAGCAGGTCGAATCCACCAGGTGCTCGCTGGAAACCCTATGAGGTAGTTCTTCTCTGTCCTGTAGGGTCACTATGAGTCGGAATCGACTTGATGGCAATCGGTTTGATTTTTTTGTGTGTGTGTGATCAAAGAACCCAGTCTATGATACGGATTTTTTTGATATTGCTGAGACTTGCTCTCACAACTAGCACTTAGTTAATTTTTGTAAGTGCCACATGTATTTGAAAAGCATGTTGAAAAGTATTGTTGGCCTTTTATACGTCTACTTGGTCAAACTTATTAATTAATTATGTTGTGCAAATCTTACAAATATCATTGCCAATTTTTTGTCAACTTGATCTATCCAATAATAAGAGTGTGTTAAAGTCTCCCAATAAGATTGTGGGATTTGTTCATTTCTCCTGTAATTACAACAATTTTTGCTTAAATATTTTGAGACTATGCTGCTAAGTAGATACGGGTTCAAGATTGTTATATTTCCCTATGAATTGTTCTTGTTATCATTAAGTAACCATCCTTTTTGTCTTTGAGGATGATTTGATCCTCTGTGTGTGTGTGCGTGCACATGCGCATTAGGTGAAAACCAATTAGTTTCCCATTTGATAGTTTGTACATAAAGTGTTTCATGACCTTGGTTTCATTCCCCACAATGTGTCAGCACTCTTCCCATTTTCACCCTAGTTTCCTCATTTTCTTTCGTCCTGATTTTCTACTCCTTCCTGCCTTCTCATCTTTGCTTTTGGGCAAGTGTTGCCCTTTTGATCTCGTATAATTGATTGTTCTAAGGAGTATGTTCTTCTCAGTTGTTATTATCTTATGTGCTTATCTATTGTTTGGCTGGGAGGTGGTCTCTGGGAAAGACTTCAGTTCCAGTAAGTCTGGTCTCCTTTTGTGAATTTGATTTTTTTGTTCTACAATTTTCTCCCGCTCTGTCCAGGACCCTCTGTTGTGATCCCAGTCAGAGCAGTTGGTAGTGGTAGCCAGGCACCATCTAGTACTTCTGATCTGGGGGTCGGGTAAGCTGTGGTTCATGTGGTCTGTGGTACTTTGGACTAATTCCTCCCTTAAGTCTTTGGTTTTCTTCACTCTCCTTTGCTCCAGACAGGAGACCAACAGTTGTATCTTACATGGCTGCTCAAAAGCTTTTAAAACCCCGGACACTACTCACCAAAGCAAGATGCAGAACATTGTCTTTATCTACTATGTCGTGCCAATTGACATAGATGTCCCCCGAGTCTATGGTCCTTTGTCTTCTAGCCTAGGAACTTTATCCTGTGAGGTATTTGATTATGTCTAAGGATTTTCCCTGACTATACCCCTTGTGTGCTCTATATGAGCCGCACCTACAGTCATGTATGTGGAAATATCCACAGCCAAACCTGTATCTGCCAGTGAGTGTGTTCCCTTATATCCTCCCACACCTCTTGGTGTATCTATCTACCTATTTGTCCATTCGTAAATTATTGCTTGTTAATACTACTGCTGCAGGATTGTCTAAGTTATAGTAGTTACTGTAGTTGCCCTTTATTCTTGTATTCTTCTTAGTGTCTTCTCTTGCCTTGGTCATGATGTAAAAATATGGAACACTTCATGAATTTGCATGTCATCTTTGTACAGCGGCCATGCTAATCTTCTCTGCATCGTTCCAATTTTAATAAATGTGCTGTCAAAGCAAGCACTGATTTGATCCTTAAAGCTTATTTCATCTGATATTAGTATTAATCAACTACATTTTAGTTGGTTAATATTTGCCTGGTCTATATTTTCTTACTCATTACTTGCAACCTATCAGTATCATTTTGTTTTAGGTTAATTCCTATAAACAGCACATTTCTAGATTTTGGTTATTTATCATATCTTCTGATTATCTAGCAAATTCAATATGTTTCTACTTCCTGAGACTAGTCAAATATTTTTATTTATTTCTACTATCTAATTTTGTACTTCTAATATACCATGCTTATTCCTTGTTTCTTTTCTTCTTCTCCCCTTCCTTCTACTGGATTCAGTGAGTGTTCTATATATCTCTTTTTTACTCTTTTGGCTTGGAAGCTATACATTCTATTTCTATGCCTTTAATGGTTACCTTTAATTTGCTTGCCTGCATTCTCAGCCTCACCAAATCTAGAGTTTATCAAGATATCCGCATTCCTCCTGAGCAATACAAGGATCTTCACATGTTTTAACTCAGATCAGCCACCTCCCAATCTTCCATATTATTATTGACTTTTTTTTCCCTACTATGTTTTTAAACCCCAAAAAACTAGTCATTATTTTTTAGAGTCAATAGTTATTTAGATTTACCTCTGTTTACCAGTTTATTTGATCACTGTCATAGTTACCTAGTGCTGCTATAACAGAAATCCCACTAGTGGGTGGCTTTAAAGAAAAGAAATTTATTTTCTCACAGTTCTGGAGGTTAAAGTCCAAATCAGGGTCCCAGCCATGTTGATTCCTTCCTGGGCATTCCTTGGTTTCTTGGCAATCCTCTGTGGTATTTGTCTTCCCCATTGTATGCCTGCCTCTGTGTCTATGCTCTTTTTATAACTCAGGAGTGATTACATTTAGGACACACTCAACACTGGTGTGGCCTCATTGCATAACAAAGAAAACCCTATTTCCAAACAGGATTACATCCACAGGCATAGGGGTTAGGATTACAACACATATTTTGGGATGACACAGTTCAATCCATAACAGTCACTATTGCTTTTTAAATTCCATTTCTTCCTTCTGTATTTCATATCCATCTTGTAGGCAACATATAGTTGAATCTTAGTTTTTTAATCAATTCTGACAATTTGTGTTTTTTAATGGGTATATTTAGATCATTCACGTTTAAAGTGATTAGTGATAGAATTAGATTAATATCTACTATGTTTGTAACTGTTTTCTATTTGTTAAACTTGTTCTTTGTTTCTCCCCCTCCCCCTTTTTCTTCTTTTTATGGTTTTAATTGAGCATTTATATGGCTCCATTTTACCTCTTCTGTTAGTATATTAATTATACTTCTTTTTCAAAAACAATTAGTGGTTGTCCTAGAGTTTGCAATATGCTTTTATAACTAATCTAAGTCCACCTTCAAATAACATTATGCCACATCATATGTAGTATAAGTAGCCTCTAATAGAGTATTCTCAATTCCTCTTTCACTTCCCTATGACATTGCTGTCATTCATTTCACTTATCTATATGTTATAGTCACCTCCATACGTTGCTGATTATTACGTTAGACAAAATTATATTTTAAATTAATTAAGAATAAAAAAATTAAAGATCTAATTTTACTTTCATTTATTTCTTCTCCAACTCTCTTCCTTTCTTTATGTAGACCCAAGTTTCTGACCTATATAATTTTCCCTCTCCCTAAAGAACTTCTTTTAACATTTCTTGCAAGGCATGTCTGCTAGCAATGAATTCCCTCAGTTTTTGTTTGTCTGAGAAAATTTTTATTTTACCTTCACTTTTGGAGGATAAATTGTCAGTATCTATAACTCTAGGTTGATGGGGTTTTTTCCTTCAGCACTTTAAATATTTCACTCTATTCTTGTTGACATGGGTTTCTGCAAGAAATCTACTGTAATTCTTATCTTTGTTCTTTTATAGGTAAGCTGTTTTTTCCTCTAGCTTCTTTCAAGATTTCCTCTTTGCTTTTGGTTTTCTGATATTTGAATATGATATACCCAGATATAGGCATCTACTTTATTCTCTGAGTTTTCTGCATCTGTAGTTTGTTGTCTGTCATTAATTTTGGAAAATTCTTGGCCATTATTACCCCAAATATTTCTTCTGCTCAGTTCTCTCTTCTCCTTTTGGTATTCCAGTTATACGTATGTTGTTGTTGTTGTTGTAAGGTGATGTCGAGTCGGTTCCGACTCACAGCAATCCTATGTACAATGGAATGAAACACTGCCCAGTCCTGCGCCATCCTCACAATCATTGCTGTGTTCGAGCCCATTGTTGCAGCCACTGTGTCAATCCATCTCATTGAGGGTCCTCCTCTTTTTTGTTGACCCTCTACTTCACCAAGCATGATGTCCTTCTCCAGGAACTGGTCCCTTCTGATAACATGTCCAAAGTATATGAGACAAAGTCTCTCCATCCTCAATCCTTAGGAGCATTCTAGCTGTACTTCTTCCAAGGCAGATTTATTTGTTCTTCTGGCAGGCCACGGTATATTCAATATTCTTCGCCAATGCCATAAATCAAAGTCATCAATTCTCCAGTCTTCCTTATTCATTGTCTAGCTTTTGCATGCCTAGGAGGCAACTGAAAATAGCATGGCTTGTGTTAGGTGCACCTTAGTCCTCAAAGTGACATCTTTGCTTTTCAACACTTTAAAGAGGTCTTTTGCAGCAGATTTGCCCAATGCATGATGTTGCTTATTGGTCCAGTTGTGAGGATTTTTAATATTCCTTATGTTAAGGTGTAATCCACACTGAAGGCTGTAGTCTTTGATCTTCATCAGTGCTTCAAGTCCTCTTCACTTTCAGCAAGCAAGGTTGTGTCATCTGCATATCACACATTGTTAATGAGTCTTCCTCCAATCCTGATGCTGCGTTCTTCTTCATATAGTCCAGCTTCTTGGATTATTTGTTCAATATGCAGATTGAATAAGTATGGTGAAAGGATACAACCCTGATGCACATTCTTCCTGAATTTAAGCCATGCAGTATCCCCTTGTTCTATTCAAATGACTGCCTCTATGTACAGGTTCCTCATGAACACAATTAAGTGTTCTGGAATTCTCATTCTTTGCAATGCTATCCATAATTTGTCATGATCCACATAGTCGAATGCCTTTGCATAGTCAATAAAACACAAGTAAACATCTTTCTGGTATTCTCTGCTTTCGGCCAAGATTCATCTGACATCAGCTATAATATCCCCTGTTCCACTTCCTCTTCTGAATCTGTCTTGAACTTCTGGAAGTTCCTTGTCAATGTACTGTTGCAACTGCTTTTGAATGATCTTCTACAAAATTTTACTTGTGTATGATATTAATGCATGTGTTACTCCTCTTGAAATTTTCCCACAGTTCTTGGGTGTTCTGTTCTCATTGTCATTTTGTTGTTCTTGTTTTAATCTTTTTTTTCCCCCTTTGCACTTCAGTTTGGGAAGTTTCTATTAATGTACTTTCAAGTTCATTGATTGTTTACTTAGATGTGTCCAGTCTACTGTTGAGCCCATCAAAGACATTCTTTATTTCTGCTAGAGTGTTTTTGATCTCTAGCATTCCTTTTGATGCTTTCTTAGCATTTCCATCTCTCTGCTTACATTACCCATGTATTCTTGCATGTTGTCTGTTTTTTTCATTATATCCCTTATCATATTAATCATAGTTTTTTAAATTCCTAATAATTAAAAAATGTGTGTCATATCTGAGTCTAGTTTTAATGCTTACTTTGTCTCCTCAGACTGTGTTTTTTAGCATGCCTTATAATTTTTTGCAGTGAGCTAGAGGTGATGTATCAGATAATAGGAACTGGGGTAAATAGCGTGAGGTTGTACACTAATCTAGCAGATCTCAGCGATGACTCTCTGTATTTGCCTGTCTCTCCAGATTTCAAGGAGGCAGTTTACCCTGCAACCTCAATTATCTTATAGGTCCAAGAGAAATCATTGATTTTCAGTTTATTCAGCTTTTGCTTGTTGTAAGGATGGGAGTGATGACTTCCAAGCTCTTTACATGTAGAAGCTGAAACTGGAAGTCTCTCACATTTTTCTTACTGAGGTACATTATTTAGTAGTTCAGAGAATGTATATGAGTGGTAAACTCTTCCTATGTTTGTCTGAAAATGTCTTTATTTGCCTTTGCTATTAAATGATCATTTAGCTGAGTATAAAATTCTAGCTCAATTGTTATTGTCTCTTAACTCTTTAAGATATTTTCAACTGTCTTTTGACTTCTATTGATGCTGAAAAAAAAATGTCCTGTCAGTCTAAAATTTATACTTTCTCTCTGGTTGCTTTTATAGTTTTCTCTTTGTCTTTGGTGTTCTTCAATGTCATTGTAATTTTGCCTAGATGTGCATTTATTTTATTCAACTTATTTGGGAATCAGTATGCTTCTTCAATCTAATGACATATATCTTGCAACATTTCTGCTCTTTAAAGTCTTTAGTCATTACTTCTTCAAATATTACCTCTCCTCTATCTTTTTCTATTTTATTTTTCCAGAGCATCTATTAGGTGTATGTGGGACTTTCTCATGAAATTTTGTTTTCTCACTTACCCTGTCTTCATATTTCCCAACTCTTTAGTTTTGTATGCTGCCTTCCTGGCAAATTCTTCAACTCTGTCTTCCAGATTACTAATTTTCTATTCATCTGTATTTTATCTTGTATTTAACTTATCAATTAAAATTTTAATTTTCATTACTAGAATTTCTATTTCTAGAAAATCTATTTAGTTATTTTTCTAATCTGCCTATTCTTTTTTCATGGTGTTTTGTTCATTTGTAATGGTTTCAAGTCTTGATTTCATCTCTTTAATCATTTTATAGTCTCTTCCAAGTTGTCTGTTATCTCAGGTTCTTGGGGTACTAATCTTCCTGTTTGTTATGTATTCTGACTTATCATTATTTCATTGTGTAGTTTGCAATTTTGTAAACGGTGAGTTCATCTCTAGTAGTCATTGTTTATTCTGTAGGCATGTTGTACGTACCGGATTATGGAAA